GGGGGTGGGCTCTAGACCATTCTAACAGCCAATCAGGGCTGTGTATGTAAATATCTTTCAATTTGTTTCCTAACGCCCACACGATCAGACTGAGCATTTCAAGGGTCAAAGGAGGCTCTGGGAAATAAATGACAAAAATATATATTTTGGAGTTATTTTCATTAAATAAACACATATATTGATTTATTAGACATACAGTGATTATTTTTGATTTAAAAGGCTGTATGGGGGCTTTAAAAAGCCACCTGTTTCCTTTTTCTCACACATTTCAAAGAGCAAGTCTAGTCATTGATGGTGACCATAAAGAAGTGTTGGGTCTAAAGAGGACAACCATCCCTTTGAGCTCAATAATAAACTAAATTGCCCTTAAGCCCTTGTCACTAGACCTGAAACGACTCAAACTTCTATCCCATGCCAAATATGCAGTGGCCTCTAATGTCTTCAGTACTTAACCCATGGACAAAAAGGTGCCAATTCCACCCATACTGAGTTTGACCGAATGGAATGATTATGCACACTATGAACCAAAGTAGAGTTAGTGCCATGTAAATTGTGTTTCTTGTGACTACTTGTCACCCTTTGTCCTCATTATTGATGTACAAACCCTCCTTAAGAAAACATGGCTGGTAAAAGTGCTGCCATGGGTGACCCCAGAAAACTGACATGAGTATCAAAGGAACATCTGTTACACTTGACACAGTATGAGCATGTTATAAGCTTTTGAACAAAGAACGCTGCGTGCTTGGGTCAGACTGATGCCTTTGCGTTTGAAAAGGCCTTCAAATGACAGAGGATAGTGAATTATTTGAGGTAATGGATCTGAAGTGAAAAGATGGAAATGCTGATGAAAGATGAAGTGGCCTGACCATGTAGATGAAAGAAAGGTCTGACCACTATGGCTGCATTTAGACAGGGAGCCCAATTCTGAACTTTCTTTCAATAACTGATCTTTTAAGAAATCAGATCAGCTCTGAAAAAGATTGGATGTGAAAATATGTATTGTGATTGGTCTAAAGACCAATTGGTGGAAAAAAGATCAGAATTGGGCTGCCTGTGTCTCATGTATCCAGATGAAAAAGGAGAAACATGGGTGTCATCAGAGACCAATTAGAAATTGCAGGATGACTGTCAGATGATGATCATGATGAGGGCATACTATTGATAATAAGAATAACTACAAAAATACTGTATGATGATATTGACCTGTTCAACATTTCCTTAAACAGAAATTGCACCTGCCAAGTTGACCTTTTCCATCAGCTTTTCTATACTTGCATAAAGTATATCACTTGACTCAAATTAGACTCCTGTCCCTGAGTGGGATGCCCAAATTAAGTTCTGCACCGGGTTATGTCCATTCCATCCTAAACTCAACCACACATCTGACATCACCACTTTGATTGGCTGCCTGGCACCCTCTGGTTTTGTCCAAGATTATCCATTACATTGATAAGATAGTCGAGTGACCACTCTAACAACGGAAATACATGTCCTCAAAGATGGAAGGCAGGTAGGAGGAGGTGAGATTAGGTGGGACTATTCACGTATGTGAACAACAGGCACAACTCGTTTTTTTCCAAGTATCCGAAATGTCACATGTGTCTACTTATATCAGTGCATTCGTAACAACCTAACCATTACAAAACTTTTATTAGATCAAATAAGCCTCATGTACCAAATTAGCAATTCAATATTTACCAAATCCGACACTTTCATTGACAGATTTTGGGCTGAGTAAATAAACCCTCTCGTTTCACCTCTTCCTCTCTGCTTTCGTGTCCCAAGGTGCCCTTTGACCCCAATCTGCAGGCTCTGTGAACTTGATGGGGTCAAGAGTGTGGGCCAAGCGAGGAGTAGGAAAAGGAGGAAGGATGGGAAAGAGACAAACACTCAAATTCATTTAAAATTCATTTCAATTCAATTGATTCCTAGAAATCAAAATGTTAAAAAGGAATGATCCCTTACCCTGGTAGATGGTTTTAACCACAACAGAATATCTTGCCAATGGAGATCTTCAATTTTAGGCTACTCAGATTGTAAGGGAAAGAACAATAATCACATGGGAGTGGTAACAACAAGTGAGGAAGACGGCATCTGTAAAAACTAAAAACTACTTTGGGGTGAGAATGTGGACGATACGGCAGGTGGGAAAGTATGGAGGACAATGATGAGTGGATGGATGAGGAGTGGCACTATTGTGGGACTAAGGCTGCGTTTCTATGGTTATGGAGTTGGAAAAGTGTAGTCTACTATGCGAGGGTAGGGCTGGATACTAGGCGAGTTAGGGTGAGCTACTTTTGGAAGAGATGAGTGTTTACTATGAGAATAACAGAATGAATGAAGTTGGGGATGTGCTATGGGTTGGTAGATAGCCGATTGATGGTGCTATCTGCTTATGTCATCTGACCTGACTTTACTGTGAGCTTTCCATACGTTCAACCATGCATCTATAAAATACATCAAGTTAGAGATGGATCCCGTTTTCTTACAACAGACATCAGACAATTCCATATTTTCACTTCCCAGAATCCCTCAATACCCCTAAAGCCTAAAACCACATTGCATTCACAGCACAAATGAAATATATTATGACTGTTTTTATTACGGCCATATAGAGTACAGAAAATACAGCGAGAATGCCTATTGCAAAAGTCTGAACACAGATGCACCCACAAACCTTATGTGCAAATGTACTGTCTAAAGAAGCAAATACGACTGATACAAAAATTCTGGTTTTGTCAACTGCCAAAAAAGAACAAATGGAAGATAATGAGGAATGTCTCACTAACACCATAAAGTGTCCAAGGAGAGGAAAAAGATGAGTTCAAAAGATATTAAAGATTAGGCCCAGTCGTTCAAAACATCTAAAAATTCAGATGTTTTCCATCGAAATCCACCGCCCAAAAGGGAGCCGTAAAGCACATAGAATTACATCAGAGAGAAAGAGGGAGAGGAGAGAGAAAGAGAGAGAAGTGAGAGAGGGAGGAAAAATTCTTGAAGTATGAGAAAATGTTACTGCTCTCCTCCCCTCTCTCTTTCCTTCTCTCTCCCGCTCTCCTATTCCCCCTCCCTTTCTCATGGTCAGTCAATCAGAGCCTTCCAAGAGCAGGGAGCTTTGGACTGACTGACAGACATTGGTCAGGGAGAGAGGCAGAGTATCCAGGTAAGCCCTATGCATTTGTACTTTACATTAGCAATGCTTTTATTCTAAAATTAATATTGACAATAAATGCCAAAGATGGTTCATTCATATCAATAAGAATAAATCAATTAATTATTAGTTATATGAATAAAAGTAGAGCAGAGTACATTATTATCTGAGCATCCTAGATGTACATTTGTGAAGTTGTAAGCTATGCATATTAGTGTAAGTACTGAATAACTACATGAGGGAACGGTTTTAAATATGTTATAGGTAGGTTCAAATCCATATGACTTTGGCCTGTAAACGTTTTATTACACAAGTCTGTGATGTATTTCATAGCGTCTGTGTAGACTTAAAATGGAAGAAAGTGAGTCACTAGTGCCAATATACAAAAGCATACCATCCCTATCCATTATACAATCCAAAACCACTCTACAAAGGTGTATTGACAGGCATAAATTGCTTTGATATTTCATTGTATATTTTAATGTGTATGAGTGTGCTTGAATGTGAGAGAGCTGGAGGGATGTGGGAAGATGGTGCAGAAGCCAAAAAAGGATGCAAAGCAATTGGAAACACTTCACAGTGCATTTGACTAAGATATCTGCAGACAGAAGTGCTGTAAAATATATTGCTTTCTTTTGTGACTATAGAGTTATTACCAGCTGTGACAGGTATTAATAAAGAAACTGTTGGATGATGTCAGTACTTTGATTATACTACTGAGTTCCAGACAAGGATGGAAATCACGGAGAGTTGGAAACACCAGTTACACTGTTAAAATCACCATGCTGCCTATCATTCAGAGAGGTGGCAGTACGCGCTGTAGTAGCTGACTAAACTCAGGACGTTTCTGATGAACGCCACCAACGGAGTTGAGCAGAGACCAGGCTTCGATAAACAGAAATGAGCAAACATTCGGTGGTTGTATTTGATTCACGTTTTTGGGATTTCAGTAAACAAAGAAAGGCGCGAAACTACAGAAGACAAAACATAGATATAAGATAAGCTTTTCATAGTACAATTTTTTGAAGTATTGACCTTGGGCCGATGTAGTCAGATCTGAATTCCACAAAGCCTGGTCCATGTTCAACTCCGTTGGTGGAGTTCATCAGAACTTCCTTCACCATGGAGTTGAGTTTAGTCAACTAGCTCAGTAGCAACCATTACTGTAGTAGCTAGGTCCACTTCAATCCTCTCCTTCCTTCCTACCTCCCTCCCTCTGTGATGTTAGCCGTATGTTGTGACTGTGAGTAAGGCTGGTGTGGCGAAGTTTTGGTATTCCCGTGCCAGAAATATTATATGATTGTAAACCCTGAGCTACATAGCCTCGCGGGATTGGAAGCAGTGTAGCTCTGAGGGACTGAGTGAATCTACCCCTGAGTGATGTGTGTCTGTGAGTCTCCTCATGCTGACAAGATACTTGCCTTCCGAGGGCCTCGATTTATGAGCTTTTTCCAGGCTGCCGGAAATTGAATAACCTGTTGTCGTTTCATGCTTCTATTTTGTTTCCTATTCTCCTTTACGACCGTTTCACCCCCTCATTTTTTATCTCCATATATTTATCTATTTCCCTCACTCAACTCTCTAGGTGCTATGAAGTTATGCTGCCCTTGAAAGGCCCTGCATTTCCTGGTTGGGAAAGGAAGGGCCTGGTTTATGCATTGAGAGGAACACTTTACCACTCTGGTCATTTGAGCTGTACTGTGTGTGCATAGATAATTTGAACATTATCCACTTTTGTGCATATCAATTCTGGGGATGTTAGGTAGGTTGTGACTTCACCTAGTTCATTTAGAAAATACATAGTACAAGTTACTGGACACATAGTAGGTCGAGGCATTAGGCTGGTGATATGGCAGCCATGGCATTCCTTATTGTGATACACGGCACGTATGAAAAATGCCTGAAAGGACTGAGGATAGGCTGGTTAGGGTTCAGTCAGGTGAGAAAGGGAGGGATTGTGAGTACACTGCCCCTGGCCTACGTGGCACGGACTGAGACTCTGGCTCCAGGTCAGACCATTACATCCAAACCCCCTGCTGGAATGAGGAAAGTGACCTTATTGGGTCCCACTGGGAAACCACATTATCCTGCATCCTACCCTGTCCAAACACAAGCCTAACCCACACCAACTGGGCCTGGGGATGACCCCATCCGTTTAATGTGCTGTTCATGAATGGCAAATTGTTCAGAACCAGTCCGTGGTTCTACACGTGCCACAACCACGTTGCCGTAGGAAAATAGGAACGCTGGTCGCAGAGTATATTGAATTAGTCTTCTAGACAAACATTTTTTCCAAGCTAACATGCTGTGTTGACAGGGCCATAAACAACTCAAAGGCTATTCCAGCTCACTATAGCCACTGTGATAGTTGTTGTGCTTACATTACTTCAGGTAAATGTTTATTCTTGACTTTCTTGTTTCCCAGGGATACAGTGGTGAGGGAGTCTTTGAATATCCTTCACTTTGAGGCAACAGTTCTACAGATTCACATGAATAAAGCAACCCCTTGATGACAAAAACCTGTGACTTGTAGCCACCTTCACAGCAGAGAGTGCTTCCCTCTTCCCAGCCTTTCCTTGATTACTGTAATCATTTTTTGAAGTGGTCTACTATCAGTTTCTCTTCAACCAACAAAGACAATTGCCCTCCCCTCCACCTGAAGGCAACTTCCTGCCCAAAATGCCTCTAGTCCCATCCTTCCTCCTCCTGCTCCTCGCCTGCCCTGCCCTCCTGACCCTATCAGGTTCACAGAGCCTGCAGACTGGGGGTCAAAGGGCACCCAGGAACACAAAGCCAGAGGGTGGCGGGCAGCCAATCAAAGTCATGATCTCTGAGGCGTGTGTTCAAGGGGACTCCAGTCAGACCCAGGGCAAGGAACTGGACCTTGAGCCTGGTTCTCCTCTAGTCTTTACCCATCGGATCAAACTGGTTCCGGGGTCATGCGGAGGCGGGTGTGAGGCCGAGTTTGCTGCCCTGCGAGACCGTCTGGAGAGGCTGGAGAAGGAGGTGTCTGCCCTGAGGGAGAAGTGTGGAGGCCCAGAGGGGGGCTGCTGCACATCCCAGCAGAGCAAAGGTACAGTAGGACTGCTGCCACGTGACTCACTGATCAACTGGGTCTGGTTATGACCATTACATGGCATCCCCTCATAGCTCCTCCCATCTCACTGAATCACCCAACTGGTTCTCATTTGAGCACACACACACACACACACACACACACACACACACACACACACACACACACACACACACACAGCTCTTACATTTATATAAAAAACGATCCAATACTGACCTCAACCATGATCGCATTTTTAACTGGCAGACTACAGCCATGCTCATATTATGATCTAACTGACATGAGTAATGAGGACTCTACTAACGGGTTCGACCAATCAGAGCAAATACAGTAAAGGGTCCAGCTCTAACTTTCTGCCCAATGTGATCTCAGACAATCCTCCTAATCTAGCTCTCCACCCTTCTCTCAATGTGGGGCACTTTCAGCAACAGCAGGGATAGTTTATCCACCAATCTGTTTAAAATATCAATACACTCTAGCAATGTTCCCTCTAATCTTTTTCAGCACACAGCAAATTTCAGGTCTGCTGACCGCAAACTTGAACATCGTGAAAATTCTGTGCAACTTCCAGTGCGCGTTTACTATGAACACTGAGGCTATACCCGCTTTAGGTTACAGTTTTAACAGTGGCCAAGTAGGCTAACGTGGCTATTTGATCATAATGTAGGCCTACCAGAGTGGCCTACCATCAAAAACAATGGAGAAAATGCATTCCAGAATATTTTAACATAGAAATAGCTGTTCTATCATTCAGCCTAGAGTAGCAGCCAATGTGTGGTGAATAACACTGAATGAAGAAAACATGCAGGGCTTGACATCAACGTGTTTATCCACTCGTCCTTCAGACAAGGAGGTGACTGAAAATGTTGTTGTGTTGTTTGATGCAAGAAACCATTTAACAAAATAAAATGCATTATTATTCCCATTCCATTATTACTGAGAATCAGACAAATTATGCTACCCTCTGCATATTGACTACTTAGCTTATTCAAGTCTGTCTCAAAATACAACACTGCCCCTTTAAGACAAAAAAAGCTCTTTACCTGACTTGCTTTTCAAAGATGTCTAGAAATGTACACGTTTTGTGCTCTTGTAGGATGCAATCACTCCCCTATTGCTGACTACAAATAACCTATAACTGGGCTAATAACTCACTAACTAGCAAACGATGTGAACTAAATGTGCACACGTGGCTAATTGCAGCACTTGCTTTGATCTCTAAACAAGCGCATCTACTCACAACCACAGCTGTAAACACAGTCCAGTTCAAAGTAAACGGCACAGATCCATATATGGCAATGATCTATTTGCATACAGTGCATTCTGAAATTATTCAGACCGCTTCAGTTTTTCCACATTTTGTTGCATTACAGCCTTATTATAAAATGGATTAAGTACATTTTTTCCCTCATCAATCTACACACAATACCCCATAATGACAAAGCGAAAACAGGTTTTTAGAAATTTTAGCAAATGTATAAAAAAAAAAAACGGATATACCTTATTTACATAAGTATTCAGACCCTTTGCTATGAGACTCAAAATTGAGTTCAGGTGCATCCTGTTTCCATTGATCATCAATTTTTGGTTTCTACAACTTGATTGGACTCCACCTGTGGTAAATTCAATTGATTGGACATGATTTGGAAAGGCACATACCTGTCTACATAAGGTCCCACAGTTGACAGTGCATGTCAGAGCAAAAACCAAGCCATGAGGTCGAAGGAATTGTCTGTAGAGCTCCGGGACAGGATTGTGTCGAGGCACAGATCTGGGGAAGGATACCAAAATATTTCTGCAGTATTGAAGGTCCCCAAGAACACAGTGGCCTCCATCATTCTTAAATGGAAAAAGTTTGGAACCACCAAGACACTTCCTAGAGCTGGCCGCCTGGCCAAACTCAGCAATCGGGGGAGAAGGGCCTTGCTCAGGGAAGTGACCTAGAACCAGATGGTCACTCTGACAGAGCTCCAGAGTTCCTCTGTGGAGATGGGAGAACCTTCCAGAAGGACAACCATCTCTGCAGCACTCCACCAATCAGGCCTTTATGGTAGACTGGCCAGACAGAACCACTCCTCAGTAAAAGGCACATGACAGCCCGCTTGGAGTTTGCCAAAAGGCACCTATAGGACTCTCAGACCATAAAAAACAAGATTCTCTGGTCTGATGAAACCAAGATTGAACTCTTTAGCCTGAATGCCAAGCGTCACGTCTGGAAGAAACCTGGCACCATCCCTGCGGTGAAGCATGGTGCTGGCAGCATCATTTTGTGGGGATGTTTTTCAGTGGCAGGAACTGGGAGACTAGTCAGGATCGAGGGAAAGATGAACGGAGCAAAGTACAGCGAGATCCTTGATGAAAACCTGCTCCAGAGCGCTCAGGACCTCAGACTGGGGCAAAGGTTCACCTTCCAACAGGACAACGACCCTAAGCACACAGCCAAGAAAATGCAGGAGTGACTTCGGGACAAGTCTCTGAATGTCCTTGAGTGGCCCAGCCAGAGCCCGGACTTGAAACCGATCGAACATATCTGGAGAGACGTGAAAATAGCTGTGCAGCGACGCTCCCCATCCAACCTGACAGAGCTTGAGAGGATCTGCAGAGAAGAATGGGAGAAACTCCCCAAATACAGGTGTGCCAAGCTTGTAGCGTCATACCCAAGAAGACTCGAGGCTGTAATCACTGCCAAAGGTCCTTCAACAAAGTAATGAGTAAAGGGTCTGAATACTTATGTAAATGTAATATTTCAGTTTTATATTTTTAATACATTCAGCAAAAATTTCAAAAAACCTTATTTTCCTTTGTCATTATCGGTTATTGTGTGTAGATTGATGAGGGGGTAATAAGGATGAAGCGTAACAAAATGTGGAAAACGTCAAGGGGTCTGAATACTTTACGAATGCACTGTATAGGCCTACTGCAGCTCTGATTGGTTATGCCCACCGGTCTGTGTAGAGTATAGCCTGAGTCGTGCACAATAGAATCCTTCTCCGGTGCGTTCTGCCTACAACAAAATATATTGCATTGATTATTTTTCTAGTACGTTGCATTGAAAGTGGCTAATATTGCGTTGATTCGATCACAATTGCCACAGTAAAGGGAAACGTTGATAGTGTTAACTAACAGGGAAAACTCTAGAAAGTTGAGTGAAGTTCAATCTCGTGCTTCTCTCTGTGGGCTGATATTTCTTCTATACTCTGCGTGGCAGTCTCGGGGCTACTGCGCGCCCACGCACGTGCGCAGCTTAGCGAGAACATTGCACTCTAGTGTCTTACTGTTTTACTCTCTGTCTCTGTCCAAACCACCTCTTTAGGCGCTGAGTGCTCCATCAAGCCGGAGGGAGACGATTGTCCTAACGAGTGCAGTGACCAGGGACGCTGTGAGGACGGCAAGTGTGTCTGCTTCCCAGGGTTCAGTGGGCCCGACTGCAATTTGTCTGACTGCCCCGACAACTGCAATGACAAGGGGACGTGTGTGAACGGCCAGTGTGTGTGCGACCCAGGTTTCACAGGGCCAGACTGCTCTTCAGAGTCCTGTCCTGGTAACTGTAACAACAAGGGGCGATGTGTGAACGGCCAGTGTGTGTGCAACAATGGCTTCACAGGCCCCGACTGCTCCACCAAAGCATGCCCTGGAAACTGTAACAACAAGGGGCGATGTGAGAACGGCCAGTGTGTGTGCAACAATGGCTTCACAGGCCCCGACTGCTCCACCAAAGCATGCCCTGGAAACTGTAACAACAAGGGGCGATGTGAGAACGGCCAGTGTGTGTGCAACAATGGCTTCACAGGCCCCGACTGCTCCACCAAAGCATGCCCTGGAAACTGTAACAACAAGGGGCGATGTGAGAACGGCCAGTGTGTGTGCAACAATGGCTTCACAGGCCCCGACTGCTCCACCAAAGCATGCCCTGGAAACTGTAACAACAAGGGGCGATGTGAGAACGGCCAGTGTGTGTGCAACAATGGCTTCACAGGCCCCGACTGCTCCACCAAAGCATGCCCTGGAAACTGTAACAACAAGGGGCGATGTGAGAACGGCCAGTGTGTGTGCAACAATGGCTTCACAGGCCCTGACTGCTCCACCAAAGCATGCCCTGGAAACTGTAACAACGGGGGGAAGTGTGTGAATGGCAAGTGTGTGTGTGATAGCGGTTTTACAGGGCCAGACTGTTCTACCAAGTCTTGCCCTGGCAACTGCAGCAACCGTGGAAAGTGTGTGAACGGCCAGTGTGTCTGCGACAGCGGCTTTACGGGGCCGGACTGTTCCGCCAAAGCATGTCCCAATAACTGCAGCAACAAGGGAAGGTGCGTGAATGGGAAGTGCGTGTGTGAAGTGGGCTTCACTGGGCAGGACTGCACCGCTAAGGGCTGTCCCGATAACTGCAGCAACAAAGGGCGCTGCGTGAAGGGGAGGTGTGTGTGCCGCCGTGGTTTCGCCGCCCCGGACTGCAGCCAGTGTGAAGCTGGGTTCACTGGAGCTGACTGTGGCACAGGTGAGTCTCCAAATATTCTCCATAAAACACTCTCGGCTGCAATTGGCTTTTATATTGTCCAGTGAAACAGAGTGCACACTGTATTAGCCACATGGCAGTGCTAATATATCATACTGTACAGTCAGTGTGGAATATAGGGCGGCAGGTAGCCTAGCGGTTAAAAGCGTTGGGCCAGTAACCGCAAGGTCGCTGGTTCGGATCCCCGAGCTGACTAGGTGAAAACCTGCCGATGTGCCCTTGAGCAAGGCACTTAACCCTAATTACTCCTGTGAATCGCTCTGGATAAGAGCATCTGGTAAATATAGTATTCCCTTCTATCCAATTCCACATACTGTTATATGTGCCACATTATGCTTTCAAGTACTGTATGTAGACCTCTACCATACGTTGCAGCTTGAGGTGCTTACACAAGTTGACTAATGGACTTTGACTTCTTAGGAAAAATAGGACTCTGTATTTTACATTGACTTTACAGTTAAATGGGGGAAAGGTGACAAAAGGATGCCTTATTGCCTTTAAAATCAATTCCATGGTAAATCACTTTAGCTAATGCAAGGAAACATTGCATGACATTGTTGGCTTGAATGACTGAAACTAAGCATCTAACCCCCCCCCCCCCCCCCCCCCGTCTCCAGCAATGTCTGGTGTGTCCCAGCTCAACACTAAGGACATCACTGACTCCTCTGTCACCCTCTTCTGGACCCCACCTCCAGTCCAGTATGACACCTACCACGTCACCTTCACCAGCCAGGTAACAACACCCTACACACCCTACTCACAAGTTCTTATGAAGTTGTGAGTTGTGAATCTGGGTCCTAAATAAAGCACAAAGTAAACTGAACTTGAGAAACAACTGTTAGACAACAGATGTATTTGCTGAGAATGAACAGTCACCAAAATGAACAGAAGGCTGCTCTCATGGCACGAAGCCCGGTTCTCATTCCAGGTTTTAAGACTTGTTTTGGGGGCAAATGTTGAAAAGGTCATGGTGGTGCGTTATTTCCATGACAAATCCCCAAAACGTTTGCCTACAATGTCCCTGAAAGCCCAAGGGAATTCAATGGTGGCATACTGTAAATAAAAACCTCCCATGGAAAAAGACATTGACTCCTTTGGCTTCAAATCAAATAATGTCACATGCTTTGTGAGAGAAAAAAAGAGAAATAATATTTAAAAAATAACACAAGGAATAAATACACTATGAGTAAAGATAACTTGGTTATATACATGGGGTACCAGTACCGAGTCGGTGTGCAGGGGTATGAGATAATTTGAGGTAGATATGTACAGTGCATTCGGAAAGTGTTCAGACCCCTTTACTTTTTCCACATTTTGTTACGTTACAGCCTTGTTCTAAAATTGATTAAATTGTTTTTTCCCCCTCATCAATCTGCACACAATACCCCATAATGTTTTCACTTTGTCATTATGGGGTATTGTGTGTGTATATGGGTGAGAGAAAAAATATCATTGTAATCCATTTTGAATTCAGGCTGTAACACAACAACATGTGGAATAAGTCAAGGGGTATGAATACTTTCTGAAGGCACAGTGCATTCGGAAAGTATTCAGACTCCTTCCCTTTTACCACATTTTGTTATGTTACATTTGCCCATTGTTTTCAAAATTCTTCAAGGTCTGTCAAATTGGTTGCTGATCATTGCTAGACGACCATTTTCAGGTCTTGACATAGATTTTTAAGTAGATTTAAGTCAAAATTGTAACTCGGCCACCCAAGAACATTCACTGTCTTCTTGGTAAGCAACTCCGGTGTAGATTTGGCCTTGTGTTTTAGGTTACTGTCGTGCTGAAAGGTGACTTCATCTCCCAGTGAATGGTGGAAAGCAGACTGAACCAGGGTTTTCTCTAGGATTGTGCCTATGCATAGCTCAATTCCATTAATTTTTTTATCCTGAAAAACTCCCCAGTCCTTAACGATTACAAGCATACCCATAACATGACGCAGCCACCAATATGCTTGAAAAAATGGAGAGTGGTACTCAGTAATGTGTTGTATTGGATTTGCCACAAACATAACACTTTGTATTCAGGACAAAAAGTGAATTGCTTTGCCACATTTTTTGCATTATTACTTTAGTGCCTTGTTGCAAACAAGATGCATGTTTTGGAATATTTGTATTCTGTACAGGCTTCCTTCTTTTCACTCTATCAATTAAGTTAGTATTATGGAGTAACTACAATGTTGTTGATCCATCATCAGTTTTCTCTAATCACAGACAACTGTGTAACTGTTTTAATGTCACCATTGGCCTCATGGTGAAATCCCTGAGCAGTTTCCTTCCTCTCTGATGCCTGTATCTTTGTATTGACTGGGTGTATTGATACACCAACTAAAGTGTAATTAATTACTTCACCATGCTCAAAGGGATATTCAATGTCTGTTTGTTTCTACCAATAGGTGCCCTTCTTTGCTAGGCATTGGAAAACCTCCCTGGTCTTTGTAGTTGAATTTGTGTTTGGAATTCACTGCTCGACTGAGGGACCTTATAGATAATTGTATGTGTGGGGTACAGAGATTAGGTAGATAGGCATTCAAATGTCATGTTAGACACTATTACAGCACACAGTGAGTCCATGCAACTAATTATGTGACTTGTTAAGCAAACTCTTACTCCTGAACTTATTTAGGCTTGCCGTAACAAAGGGGTTGAATACTTATTTGACTCAAGATATTTCAGCTTTTAATTTTTTATAAATTTCTAAAATGTTCTACAAACACAATTCCACTTTGACATTATGGGGTATTGTGTGTAGATCAGTGGCACAACATCTCAATGTAATCAATTTTAAATTCAGGCTGTAACACAAAATGTGGAAAAAGTAAAGGGGTGTGAATACTTTTCAATGTGACGAGTCAAAAGAGAGTGCAAAAAGGGTCAATGCAGATAGTTATATAGTTAACCAATATCTACCCGGACTAGCTATTTAGCAGTCTTATGGCTTGGGGGTAGAAGCTGTTCAGGGTCCTGTTGGTTCCAGACTTGGTGCATCGGTACCGCTTGCCGTGCGGTAGCAGAGAGAACAGTCTATGACTTAGGTGGCTGGAGTCTTTGACAATTTTTAGGGCCTTCCTCTGACACCACCTGGTATAGAGGTCCTGGATGGCAGGGAGCTCGGCCCCAGTGATGTACTGGGCCGTACGCACTACCTTCTGTAGCGCCTTGCGGTCGGATGCCAAGCAGTTGCCATACCAAGTGGTGATGCAGCCAGTCAAGATGCTCTCAATGGTGCAGCTGTAAAACTTTTGAGGATCTCAGGGCCCATGCCGAATCTTTTCAGCCTCCTGAGGGGGAAGAGGCATTGTTGTGCCTTCTTCACAACTGTGTTGGTGTGTGTGTGGACCATGATAATTCCTTAGTAATGTGGACACCGAGGAACTTGAAGCTCTCGACCCGCTCCACTACAGCCCCGTCGTTGTGGATAGGGTCGTGTGCAGCCCTCCGTTTCCTTTGCCTTGCTGTCATTTAGGGACAGGTTGTTGTCCTGGCACCACTTTGACAGGTCACTGACCTCCTCCCTATAGGCCGTCTTAACGTTGTCGATGATCAGGCCAACCACTGTTGTGTTGTCAGCAAACTTAATGATGGTGTTGATATCGTGTGCTGCCACGCAGTCATGGGTGAACAGGGAGTACAGGAGGGGACTAAGCACGCACTCCTGAGGGGCCCCCGTCTTGAGGGTCAGCTTGGCGAATGTGTTGTTGCCTACCCTCACCACCTGGGGGCAGCCCGTCAGGAAGTCCAGGATCCGATTGCAGAGGGGAGGTGTTCAGTCCCAGGGTCCTGAGCTTAGTGATTAGCTTGGAGGGCACTATGGTATTAAACCCTGAGCTACAGTCAATGAACAGCATTCTCACGTAGGTGTTCCTCCTGTCCAAGTGGGAGAGGGCAATGTGGAGTGCAATAGAGATTGTGTCATCTGTGGATCTCTTGGGGCGGTATGCGAATTGGAGTGGGTCTAGGGTGTCTGGGATGATGGTTTTGATGTGAGCCATGACCAGCCTTTCAAAGAATTTAATATCTACAGATGTGTGTGCTACGGGGCGATATTCATTTAGACAGGTTACCTTGGCGTTCTTGGGCACAGGGACTATGGTGGTCTGCTTGAAACATGTAGGTATTACAGACTGTGTCAGGGAGAGGTTGAAAATGTCAGTGAAGACACTTGCCAGCTGGTCAGTGCATGCTCTGAGTACGTACAGTTGAAGTCGGAAGTTTACATACACCTTAGCCAAATACATTTAAACTCAGTTTTTCACAATTCCTGACATTTAATCCTAGTTTAAATTCCCTGTTTTAGGTCAGTTAGGATCACCACTTTATTTTAAGAATGTGAAATGTCAGAATAATAGTAGAGATAATTATTTATTTCAGCTTTTATTTCTTTCACCACATTTCCAGTGGGTCAGAAGTTTACATACACTTAATTAGTATTTGGTAGCATTGCCTTTAAATTGTTTAACTTGGGTAAAAGGTTTCGGGTAGCCTTCCACAAGCTTCCCACAATAGGTTTTGTGAATTTTGGCCCATTCCTCCTGACAGAGGTGGTGTAACTGAGTCAGGTTTGTAGGCCTCCTTGCTCGCACACGCTTTTTCAGTTCTGCCCACACATTTTATATTGGATTGAGGTCAGGACTTTGTGATGGCCATTCCAATACCTTGACTTTGTTGTCCTTAAGCCATTTTGCCACAACTTTGGAAGTCCATTTGGAAGACCTATTTGCGACCAAGCTTTAACTTCCTGACTGATGTCTTGAGATGTTGCTTCAATATATCCACATAATTTTCCTTCCTCATGATGCTATCTATTTTGTGAAGTGCACCAGTCCCTCCTGCAGCAAAGCACCCCCACAGCATGTTGCTGCCACCCCCGTGCTTCACGGTTGGGATGGTGTTCTTCGGCTTGCAAGCAACCACCTTTTTCCTCCAAACATAACGGTGGTCATTATGGCCAAACAGTTCTATTTTTGTTTCATCAGACCAGAGGACATTTCTCCAAAAAGTACGATCTTTGTCCCCATGTGCAGTTGCAAACCGTAGTCTGGCTTTTTTATGGCGGTTTTGGAGCAGTGGCTTCTTCCTTGCTGAGCGGCCTTTCAGGTTATGTCGATATAGGACTCGTTTTACTGTGGATATAGATACTTTTGTACCTGTTTCCTCCAGCATCTTCACAAGGTCCTATGCTGTTGTTCTGGGATTGATTTGCACTTTTCGCACCAAAGTACGTTCATCTCTAGGAGACAGAACGCGTCTCCTTCCTGAGCAGTATGATGGCTGCGTGGTCCCATGGTGTTTATACTTGCGTACTATTGTTTGTACAGATGAACGTGGTACCTTCAGGCATTTGGAAATTGCTCCCAAGGAAGAACCAGACTTGTGGAGGTCTACAATTTATTTTCTGAGGTCTTGGCTGATTTCTTTTGATTTTCCCATGATGTCAAGCAAAGAGGCACTGAGATTGAAGGTAGGCCTTGAAATACATCCACGGGTACACCTCCAATTGACTGAAATGATGTCAATTAGCCGATCAGAAGCTTCTAAAGCCATGACATCCTTTTCTGGACTATTCCAAGCTTTTTAAAGACACAGTCAATTTAGTGTATGTAAACTTCTGACCCACTGGAATTGTGATACAGTGAATTATAAGTGAAATTATCTGTCTGTAAACAATTGTTGGAAAAATTACTTGTGTCATGCACCAAGGAGATGTCCTAACCGACTTGCCAAAACTATAGTTTGTTAACAAGACATTTGTGGAGTGGTAAAACAAGTTTTAATGACTCCAACCTAAGTGTATGTACATTTCCGACTTCAACTGTAAGTGCTACATTTGCCTGCCCTTATTTGCCGTTGGTGGATAATATGTAAGGTAATTTAAAGGTAATTTCAGATTGAGAAGATATATATAGCTTCTACCGTGAATGCTGTCTCCGCTAACACCGGAACATTGCCTTTAAATTTCAATCACGCTGTAACGCTGAACTTCCGCGATACGGACTGAATAGAGCCCTTTGTTTTCTATGCCAAATAAATCAATCCAAAGATTGATCTTGAGAACAGTAACACACCACAGTTTGACAGCTGAGCAGCAGAGGTCCATCACACAACTGAAAGATGAGTCCATATTCAACAGTTACTGGCAGGGGAGCCTCAGACCATGTCAGAAACAGATGACTCTCAATCCCTCTTAACTCACAATTACTGTGTTTTTCAATTTAAATTCAGTCATTAATTTCACTCAGCCTTTAAAGACTTTCAAATGGCAAAACAATTGTTTCACTGAGCAAAACCCTTTAGTGAACTGTTGGAGTACATAACAAGGTTTATAGATCCTGTAAATGTGCAGATATGCAAACGTTTTGCCAAAATAAATAGCAGTGGACATTTTGCCAGTTTCTGTTTAATGATGTTTGGCGTTAACTAACTGTCACTTCAGTAAATACTGGTTTGCTTTTACTGGTTCAACTGATATACTGTCACGATCGTCGGGAACAGAGGACCAATGCGCAGCGTTGAATGCAAACATATTTATTACCACTGAAGGATAACACGAACAAAAACGATAACGTGACAGTCAACGGTCTAACACAAACCAACTAGAACAAGAACCCACAAACACAACGGGAAAAACAGACAGTTTAAATATGGCTCCCAATCAGAGACAACCAGCCACAGCTGACACTCGTTGCCTCTGATTGGGAGTCACTCAGGCCAACATAGAAATAAACCAACTAGAACTCCCAACATAGAAATAGAATACATAGATCTACACACCCTGGCTCAACATAACAGTGTCCCCAGAGCCAGGGCGTGACAGTACCCCCCCCTAAAGGCGCGACCGCGCCAACTAAATACCACAGGGGAGGGACCGGGTGGGCACTCCGCCTTGGCGGCGGATCCGGCTCCGGGCCTGATCCCCACTCCCTCTCCAACCCCCCAAAGTACCCCTGGTCCGGTCTGGCCCCGCTGGCCGGAGCTGGACTGCACACTGATGGAGCGGATTGCTCTAGCTCCGGCGTAACGCATCTGACCGGTGCCGGACCAGGCACCAGTGGAACAGGCACGGGCCGTGCTGGACTGACGACGCCCACCACTGGCTTGGTGTGGAGAACAGGCACGGGCCGTGCTGGACTGACGACGCACACCACTGGCTTGGTGTGAGGAGCAGGAGCGGGCCGAACCGGGCTGGCGACGCGCACCATTGGCTTGGTGCGGGAAGCAGGAGCGGACTGGACCGGGCTGACGACGCACACCACTGGCTTGGTGTGAGGAGCAGGAGCGGGCCGAACCGGGCTGGCGACGCGCACCATTGGCTTGGTGCGGGAAGCAGGAGCGGACCGGACCGGGCTGACGATGCGCACCCCTGGCTTGGTGCGTGGAGCAGCAACGGGCCGGACCGGGCTGACGATACGCACCCCTGGCTTGGTGCGTGGAGCAGGAACGGGCCGGACCGGGCTGACGATACGCACCCCTGGCTTGGTGCGTGGAGCAGGAACGGGCTGGACCGGGCTGACGACTCGCACCCCTGGCTTGGTGCGAGTGGCAGGAACAGGCCGGACCGGGCTGGCGACGCGCACCATAGGCTTGGTGCAGGGAGCAGGAACAGGCCGGGCTGGGCTGGCGACGCGCACTGTACACTTGGTGCGGGGAGCAGGAACAGACCGGACCGTACTGGGGACACACACCACTGGCCCTACACCGGGATCTGGAACGGGCCGGACCGGACTGGTAACACACCCCAGTACCTCTCGCCGTGCCTCTACACCTTCCATCCCCTCTTCGACCAGTGGCCCCCGTAACCTGGCGGCCTCCTCTGCCAACCCGCTGGACCGCTCTATCGCGGCCTCCTGCTGCCCCGACGTCGTGAGCCCCCCCCTAAAAATGTTCTGGGGTTCTCTCTTCCCCGTGGGCCAGGCCTCTATAATTCTTGCCCAACTCTCGCTCTTCTGCTTCCAACTCCCGCCATTCAGCTCCTCATTGGGCTTGACCCAGTCGAAGCTCTTCCTCCACTGTTCCCAAGTCCACCCTCTCTGCTCCTCACTAGGCTTGACCCAGTTGAGGTTGCCACGGAGATCTGCTAGCGATTCCCCTGGCGATGGCTCCTGGACACGCTGCTTGGTCCAGTTTTGGTGGGTTCTTCTGTCACGATCATCGGGAACAGAGGACCAATGCGCAGCGTTGAATGCAAACATATTTATTACCACTGAAGGATAACACGAACAAAAACGATAACATGACAGTCAACGGTCTAACACAAACCAACTAGAACAAGAACCCACAAACACAACGGGAAAAACAGACAGTTTAAATATGGCTCCCAATCAGAGACAACCAGCCACAGCTGACACTCGTTGCCTCTGATTGGGAGTCACTCAGGCCAACATAGAAATAAACCAACTAGAACTCCCAACATAGAAATAGAATACATAGATCTACACACCCTGGCTCAACATAACAGTGTCCCCAGAGCCAGGGCGTGACATATACTTATATACTGGTTCAACTTATACGGTTGGATTCACAGCCATAGTAACCACAGAACGGAGGATATAATAAAAAATAATAATAATAATATAATTAATATAAAAGCATTACATAAAATGTAAAACATATGACTGACATACTGATCTGGATTTCTGTTGAACATAACAGGACTTAATAACATTACATAAGTGTATTGTATTACATTTGTTCAGCAGCTCATGGTATCAATCAGTGGATTCAAAAGATAAAATCCAGTTTCCAATATCAAAAGGTAATTCACAGAGACATATGCTACCAATTTTATTCAAAGCTGCCTTTGTACTCTTTGTTTTGAGTATAGGATGTTAGTGTTTCACTGATTTGCACTACAGAATAACTTCCTATTAAGTTCAAGTTCAGTTAACATACAGTAGCCTGGAAACTAAGTATAAAAACAACATACATTGCTATGATCTAATACAATATCCGGGCCATGTGTGCAACTTTTCACTTTCAGGTCTCCCACTGTAATTGTGCCTTTAAGGCCCAGTGCAGTCAAAAACTTGATTTTCCTGTGTTGTATATATATATCAACACTATGAGGTTGGAAAAATGTTGTGCAATTTAGAAAATGATGATAATGCCCTTTTAGTGTAAGAGCTAGTTGAAAAGATTGCCTGAAATTGTAGCCTGTTTTGGTGAGATGGAGTTGTGGTGACATCACCGGGTGATAAATTAGTTAATATACCAATAAGAAATAGAGTTCCAAACCTCTCTGCCAATAACAGCTAGTTTTAAATGTTCCCCTCCCCACTCAGACCACTCCTAGACAGTCTTAGCAAAATTCTTGCTTGAGAAATTGCTTGTTGCTAAGAAGCAATTTTTGTTTATTTTTAACCATTTTAATTGAAAATAATCAAGGAAAGGTACTACATTGTTATCCAGAAATGATTTGATAGAAGAAGAAAAAAACGGCTGCATTGTACCTTTAATAAAACATATGCTCCCAATCTGCACAGAGGGGTGATGTTAGATGTACACAATGACAAACTGGATTGGTACTCATCATTCACATGTTGTTGGACCTTGCTATTACAGTAGACACAAGCACTCTATAGAAGCTGTATCCATGTCCTTAAAAGTCTCATCTACAACACTGAAACAAAGAGAGGCACCTTAATGACAACCAAAAGGACCATTGGAAAAGGTAGGGAAATGGTACAAAGATGAAACAACCCTCTTTTTCCTCCTTAATGGAACTATTTCAATGAGTGAATGAGATTGTTATTCTTCATAAACGGGTTCCAGACAAAAAAATATAGAGAAAAAATATATAAAAAATAATAGAGGCTATTGTAGGTTAGTAGAGTGAAGTTTGGCCACAGCATCAGCACTAGGATGCATTCCAAAAACTCATCGCAAAACAACAACAGCGGAAACAGCCTATTTTACATACATGACAGGGGTAGGTGTGAGAAGAAATATGGAGGAAGGGAGGACATCCTTGTAAAGGGAATAAGTAAAACTAGGGATGAAAGTCATAGGCGAGTCAAAGGAGAAAGTCATAGCAACAATAGTTAGGGAAAGGGAAGGATAATGGGAGATAGAGAGAGTGGGCAGCAAGGGAGAAGAAAAGATGCAGATGTGGGATGCTTGTTGCTGGGGCAGCCGTAAACACTGTCAAAAACATGGCCCTGGCCAGAGAAATGACTTCACTGGTCGGCAGCTGTGACACAGCGGAAGAGAGTGAATGAGGGAGATACACATTAATCTCTCATGTTTACAGATAAACAACACACGTAGACTAAACAGGACACAAACCCCACATTGTGCAAGATAAAGCACAACGACACACTCAAAACTAGAGGCATATGACATACGCACACTGTAGATCAACGCTGGGCAACCTGGCAACCCAGCTGGGCCCCATTTCCCATATGAGAGAATATATTACACAATGGAGAAAAACTTGGAGAACACCCCCATAATTCTCAAATTATCACATATCAATTAAGGAAATTGTGAGAGTTGGAACGTGAAAGGATGACAACATTTCTCAAAGCTTTGTGATCTACTGGATTTCCCCTATATGTTAATAATTAATTACTTTCACAATACTACTATTACATAATTGGAACTGTTCACCTCAGTGCCAAGAAAAGAATGAAACTACCCACCCACGTTCATTTCCAACAGAGACATAATGTTTCTATATTGTCTGATGATGTTTTACTGCATAGCTGTTGAGTGGTGTAGTAATGTGATTTTAAGGCCCACTGTGGACAATAAATATGAGTCCAGTTACTAATTTAGAGAGTAGGCTCGGTTGATGTTTACAAAATATCTGAATATAGGCTTCGGCATGACAGAATTTGTAAGTTAGCCTACTCCCCCTGCTGGTAAGCATACATGCACCCATTCTATATCATCTTTAACAGGTTCTGACTAGCATTACAAATTAACTGAAATACCAGTAGGCCAAAAGGGCGTATTAATCCTCTTGATATCTGTTCTAACATTGACCTTATCATTTTCTGTGCCACACAGAAAGAGGGCGATCAACAGATAACATCTCAAGTTGGAGGCAAGCTCACGGCCTACACCCAATCAGGCCTGGCGGCCGGGCAAGAGTACACAGTGACAATCAAGGGAGAAATAGATGGGAGAATGGGCGCTGAGAGCACAGCAGAATTCACCACCCGTGAGTCAGGAAACCCCATTTTGTATCTCCTTATTATCATTTTCTACTTCCATTATTGATAGATATAAATGCAAAGTTCTTTTTTTCCCCCACTACTTTTCCCTCACCTACCACTCAGTTATCTCTGGTCCCACAAACCTTCAAGTTGTGAAGACAACCACAACATCTGCAGTTGTCCAATGGGAACAATCGCAAGGAGACATCGACAGGTATCGCTTAACTGTTACACCCAATCAGACAGACGGAACAGCCAAGGGAAGACAAGACCTGACCCTGCCCCCTGAGAGGGACTCTGCCCAGATTGACGGTTTGGACCCGGGACATTTGTATGACATCACAATAGTGGCTGAAAAAGGCAGGATCAAGAGCAAGCCAGCAACAGTCCAAGTCACTCCTGGTGAGTTTTATTGGATGAGGGGGTTGCTTACCTTACTTACTACATTGCATATGAAAAGATCCAGGGACTAGATCGTATAAGAAGCAATCTTGATTTAGTGTGTCAGATTCTTTATTAGTTTATTGGGAAATAAAGACCATAAAAATAATACTATATTTTGAGATAAGGGAGTTGCACAAATATACAGTCATGAAACAACAAATAAATTGTGAACTAAGCAGAAGAAGCAGGAGAGAGAGAAAATCATATGTTTAAAAAGAGAGGGAAATCTCTGAAACAAATTGGATACCCTGGCAATGTGAATATGCGAGGGAGGCCAGCCCTGCTCCTGTGAAGTGTTATCCCACTAAAGTTAACATGTCTAGACACGTCATTATTCAATAGAGCAGGTCATTGGAAGTGAAATTAAAATGTTAGATTGAAATGAATTTATGTACAATATAAAAACTCCTCCTGGAGCTAAGCTGATCTCTCTTCGTAAAATATATCTTCATTTTCTTTCTTTCTTTTTGATAATTAATGCTGCTCTCTTTCTTGACAATAGCAGCACACACTTAACTCACAACATTGAATATTTCAGCACCCGAACAATGAATGGCAAGGTTGTTTTAATGACCAAATGTAATAATCTTTCCACTTCTCCCTGCAGGTTTGGACAGCACATAGGCAAACTATTTATTGCACTAATGTCAATGCAGGTGTTGTTGGAAATAATAATTTTTCTAATTGTTCAGTTCAAAGATAATATTTGTGATTTTCCCATTTGGATCTAACAGTGTTTCCCTCCAGTAGTGGTATCTTTGATTCCAAACAATCGCTTCATGCCTTTAGGAAAATCCACAAAGACAATATCCAAGGTGACCATGCAGGTAGCACCAGGAGTAGAAAGCCATGAGGGAGACCCAGCAGGGAATACAAAGCCTGTGAAGGACATCTTCTACATGAAGGCCAAGGGTGAAGAACCAGAGAGGGGGAAGGATTGGAGTGGACCAGGCGCTGTAACAGTCGAAGGAACCAATGGAACCAAAGAGGACAAATCTGTTACAACCAGTACAAGACCACTTGTCAACACAAACTACAGGGTTGTACCTAAACCAGGTGATAGAATAACCTTGCCCAGGAAACCATACATTGGAGGGTCTATCCATTTTAATGGTACAAGAGTAGGCCAGGGTGGTAGGAGAGTGGGTCACAGTCTCCTGAAAAAGCCTGCAAGCAGAAATCCATTGGAGGGACCAAAGGTCAAGAAGACCTTAGATACTGACTCTAAACCAGAAAATCCCTTTGTTGGGTACAGGACTATAGCCTTAACTGTGAAAGACACTAACCTGGAGACAAGTCCTCTTGGAGAAAAATATGAAACTTTGACAAAGACCTATCCTGTCGGAATCCTTCCTGTAAATGCCACTCCAAGCTCTGGTTCTGATCAAACAGTGATTCCTGGCCTAAAGGACCTACCCAATAGAAAAAAAGGTACAGAGACTGAAACAAATGAGCCAGGGCCAGGGACAGATGGTTTGGAGCATACCACCACATCAGAAAAAAATACTATGGTTCACCCGAAATGTGTCAACAAGGTTAAATTGACACACAGGAAAGTCAATGTGACCCGTAGAGAGAGAGTCATTGGAGGGAGGGTGAATGGCACAATAGTTAAAAATAAACCCACAACAGAGCAGGGGTTTGCTGAAAAAGAGGACAGTGCACTAAAAGTGTCTGAAACAGGACATTCAAAGACAACATTTTCTGAGCGCAACCTGGTAATTCACACACAGAGAAAAGCAGATGACATTTCTCCACACACCACACAAAGTCCTACATATCCAACTTCCTCTTCACCATCACCAGTATCACCTACTTCCTACATGTCATGTTCTTCTTCAGCTCCTGCAAAACAAGATGAATCAATGACCGGTATGGGTCAACCCATGACTGACAGACACGTGGTGAATGCAAAGACTTTGCCTGTTCCCCAATCCCAATCATCCAACCTCCCTCCAGAAAGGGAACCAACATCCTCCAGTGAATCAGAACAAAATGGCAAAGGACCATCTCCCTCCAACTCTGAGGAATCATACTCAGATAAAGATCATGTTGCAGTAGCAGAAGTGGATGTCAGCAAAGATGGAGAGAAAACCACTGGCGTGGGATTGTTTGGAACCAAACCAAAACAAAACAAAGACTCTGAGAATGGGCGGCACACTACCTTTTCGCCGCCTACCTCCAAAGGGGCCCTACCAACGCCGCCCAAACCTAAATATGAGACCATTCCAAAACAGGACACGTTCACCTTCTTCAGCTCCCACAAAACAAAATGAATCAAAGACCGGTAAACCCATGACTGATAGACAACTAGTGTTTCCAAAGACATTACGGGTTTCCCCAGCCCAATCCTCAACCCTCCCTCCAGATGCTCAGCCAGAGAAGGCACCAAAATCCTCCAATGAATCAGAACAAAGTGGAAAAGAATACTATTCATCATCTTCCTCCACTTCAGAGGAATCAGACTTTACTAAAGAAAATGTTACTGTGGCAGAGGATGGTATCAGCAGAGATGGAGACAGGGCAACTGACGTGGTGTCGTCTGGAACTGAACAAAACAAGTCAAAGACTCTGACAGTGGGCGGCACCCCACCCTTACGCCGTCTACCTCCTAAGGGGACCCAGCAACGCCGTCCACACCCAAATATGGGAGCATTCCCAAACAGGACACGAACAAACCTGAGACCTCCTCAGCATCCATCAAGAGGCCCCATACGCAGACCTTTCCCACCTAAACTGACAAACAGGGACAATGGCATCATCGTTCAAACCACTCAACCAGGGGAGCAGGGCTCCTACAGTACCAGCCAGAATGACACAAACACAGACCTTAAGCCCAAAACTCTCCTCAAGAAAACAAATGCCACAGCTAGTAAAATAGCACGAGGTCAAACATACATGAGAAATAATGGTAGCTTGAGCCAAAGGGGCCAAGATTCAAAAACAGGCCATCCTGACAAAGGCAGCCAAGTGAGGAAGACTGCTGATTCAAGAGACAGCCCAAGCCCGATAAATGGATCAGATGTCACTACTACTGGAAAAACAGGCCAGCCTCTAAACTCAGTGGGGGTTCAAAGCATAACCTCAGCAGGGTCCGTACTCGTTTGGGGAGCACCAGAGGGGATGTACAGAAATTTCATAGTAACCCGGGAAGAGCATGGAAGTAAGAATGAGGCAGAGGAAGAGGAGGAGAAGGAAGAGGATGAGGTGGAGAGTGAGTCAGAGGAGGATAGTCAGGAGGAAAGGGAGGGGGAGGCACAAACTGAGAAGGAGAACAGGGGGAATGAGGAGGAAAGTGAAATGGGGGTGAGTCAAGGTAAGGAGGGAGGGGAGGAGAACACTGTTACCAATAGCAAAAGTGATAACCATAGACAGAGCAGCGACAGTAATACAGCTAAAGTTGGTGACGGAGGTACAATCAAGTTCTCCAAAGTCCTTCCGGGGTCGGCTCGCTCATTCCCATTCCAGAATCTCCATCCACAGACCCGCTATTCCCTGTCCGTGTTTGGGAAGGGTCCCGGACTACGCTCCAAAATTCACAGACTCATCGTCAGCACAGGTACTGGCCATAGTTAAAACTCTACCAACTACTACAAGGGTTCATTAGCTCATTGTTCAAGCACAGGACTTCTCTTTTCTTGAACTATGCAAGTTATTCAAGACACCCAAGTTAGATGCCGATACATCCTCACACCATTTTAGGTGAGGTATACTTGCACAGCTGCTTGATCCATATCCATTTCAAGAGCCATCACACTCTTGATACTGTAACTTCCTGAATTACAGTACTTCATCATGTTTGTTGTTAATTTGCATCATCTGCTTATTGATACGGTGAGCTGTGTTTGTTTTGTTTTGTCTTTGACAACCAAAGGCTTTTAATTAAAGCAATGTCCAAAGCTTTAATGACAAAATATGCAATGACCAAATAGTCATGCATCTGTACTAATCATTTGTATTTAATGTTAACCCCTTGTTTATGCCATGTTGTGCAGTGATGCGTGCAACTGTGATGTGTGGTGTTCATACTGGGTGCATTGTGGAAAAACAGGTATGATTGCCAAAACACACAGGGGAGATGGGCTGTTGCTAACTGGGATACTACTTGAAGTGCGTCCCATCAACAAATGTGAGCATATAAGTTCATCATTTCCTAAATGTAGGTTATGTTGAAGGATACTCTTTCATAAAGGTCATTTCTGAAATATAATCTATAATTATTACATGTGTAACAGTTGCAGATCCAGGTTTTTGATCAGTGATAAATCTTACACAATAAACACATGATTATATAGTCCTCCTGGTCCATATACAACATATCATAAACAGCCTGTGTTTTCCATTTTGTACATGTACAGTATGTCAACCCAAACACATCCATGTGTTAAGCACATACAGTGCCTTCAGAAATTATTCAAATTATTCTTACCCTTTCACTTTGTTGTGTTACAGCCTGAATTCAAAATGGATTCATTCTTTTTTTTTTACCCATCTACACACAATACCCCATAATGACAAAATGAAAACATGTTTTTAGATTTTTTTTCAAATGTATTGAAAATTAAATACAGAAATATCTAATTTACATAAGTATTCACACCCCTGAGTTAATACTTTGTAAAAGCACTTTTGGCGGCGATTACAGCTGTGAGTCTTTTTGGGTAAGTCTCTAAGAGCTTTTCACACCTGGATTGTACAATATTTGCCCATTATTCTTTAAAGAATTCTTCAAGCTCTGTCAAGTTGATTGTTGATCATTGCTAGTCAGCCATTTTCAAGCCGATTTATGTCATAACTGTAATTAGGCCACTCTGGAACATTCAATGTCGTCTTGGTAAGCAACTCCAGTGTAGATATGGCCTTGTGTTTCAGGTTATTGTCCTACTGAAAGGTGAATTAATCTCCCAGTGTCTGTTGGAAAGCAGACAACCAGGTTTTCCTCTAGGATTTTGCCTGTGCTTATAGCTGGATTCTGTTTCTTGTTTTGGAATATTTGTATTATGTACAGGCTTAATTATTTTCACTCTGCCATTTAGGTTAGTATTGTGGAGTAACTACAATGTTGTTGAGCCATCCTCAGTTTTCTGATATCACAACCATTAAACGCTAACCATTTTAAAATCACCGTTGGCCTAATGTTGAAATCCCTGACCAGTTTCCTTCCTCTCCGGCAACTGAGTTAGGAAGGACGCCTGTATGTTTGTAGTGACTGGGTGTATTGATACACCATCCAAAGTATAATGAATAACTTCACCATGCTCAAAGGGATATTCAGTGTCTGCTTTTAAAATTGTATTACCCATTTACCAATAGGTGCCCTTCTTTGCGAGGCATTGGAAAACCTCCCTGGCCTTTGTGGTTGAATCAAGACATTTCAGCTTTTCATTTTTAATTAATTTGTAAAAAGTTAAAATACATAATTCCACTTTGACATTATGGGGTATTGTGTGTTGGCCAGTAACAAGAAAATCAAAATTTACTCATTTTAAATTCAGGCTGTAACACAACAAAATGTGTAAAAAGTCAAGGGGTGTGAATACTTGATACACCATCCAAAGCCAAATTGATAAAAACATTTATATATTTTTTATCAATCCATTTTTTTTCTATCAATCTTTGCGAAACATTGAAAAACCTTCCTGGTCTTTGTGGTTGAATCTGTTCTTGAAATTCACTACTCGATTGAGGGACCTTATAGATAATTGTATGTGTGGGTTACAGAGCTGAGGTAGTTATTCAAAAATCATGTTAACACTGTTAATCAGTCCATGCAACTTATTATGCAATTTGTTAAGCACATTTTTACTCCTGAACTTATTTAGGCCTGCCATAACAAAGGGGTTGAATACTTATTGACTCAAGACATTTCAGCTTTACATTTGTATACATTTCTAAAATGTTCTACAAACAAAATTCCACTTTGACATTATGGGGTATTGTGTGTTGATCAGTGACACAACATCTCAATTTAATACATTTTAAATTCAGGCTGTAACAAAACAAAATGTGGAAAAAGTAAAGGGGTGTGAATACTTTCTGAAGGCACTGTACTGATGAAAATTACTTTGATATTCTTGAGACCATCTAAAAGACTTAAACCATTCAGCCACAACCGCCATTCACTGCTGGTCTGATCTTCTCTCACTTAGGGTAAGCTTTAAATCAGCAATCTTCATTGGCTCCCTTCATCACTCACAAAACCCAGGGTAAGACCATGGTTGGTCTCTATGGTTTTTCCTGATCTTAAGTGTGAAATGTACAGATTTTAATCCTATGAGTAATTTAAAAAATATATAAATATTTAAAAAAAAATGAAATTCCACAAGGTTTTAACGATTAGCTATTTTTTTTGTTTTTTTCAGAGCGTGAGGTCTCAAATGTTTTTTGGAATCATTATGGCAGGATTCTGCTCACTCAAGGTTGAAAATCTGTTGGTCAACACATTTCTTATTCCTTAGAAATTATCTTTCTCTTGCTTTATCTCTCCTATTCATGTATTCAAATAATTTGTGGTCAACTGTATGTCAACATCTCTTCGATTTTTCCTGTCTTCTGTTATAACTATTTTAACTTTTTCTCTTTCCTACCAACTTCTTTTTTTTTCAGGATCAAAAGACCAGCTCAACATTAATATCTCATTATTTTCCATTGCTTCTTTCCAGGGTCCAACATCTGCATTTAACAGTGACACCTTTGTCTGTTTTAGTATATGCTGTACTGCATATACTGTATATATGTTTGCACTGTACATATATACACAAACTCAATGGAGCACTAATAATAACAGCGTGAGTAAAGTATGGGTGCACCTACATTTTAGGGCATATTGACCACAGGAGGTAGGGCATATTGACCCCAGGAGGTTTTTACCTTCCTTTCTTTCTTCCTGTTTTTATTTGTCTTCCTTTGTTTTTGTGTCTTTCTTTGTGTCTTTATTTGTCTTTCTATCTTTTTCCTTCTTTTGTTTCTCTTTTTCGCTCTCAATCACACACGTCATTCCCGTGCCATGCCCAGGTCCAGAGCCTCCCTCAGGTCTTCTCTTCAGTGAAGTGACTGAGACGTCTTTCTCTGTGTCCTGGACCAAGCCAAAAAGTCCAGTGAGTGGCTTCAAGGTCACCTACACTCACACACAGGAAGGTAGGACCTTATACAGATATTCTGGAGGTCAAAATCCTGGCTGTTGTCACGTCAGTTCATTGTGTATTCTTTACATCTGTAGAAGACTTCATATTTCGCAATTTGCCTGTTCTATTCCAGGCGAGCCTGTCTCCGTAACGGTGGACTCTGGGGATTCCACTCTGGCACTGTCAAAGCTCTCTCCGGGGTCCACCTATGAGGTCAGTGTGATATCCATCCTTGGACTGGACGAGAGCGATGCAATCAAAGACCTGGTTATGACACGTAAGTTTACTGTTGACTTTCAGTTTTAGGATTAATGCTAATTTACAGGAAGTTAAATTATAGTAAGTTATCAAGACTTTCAACATCCACTTTTTTTGGTCCATTGTGGTGTCTCGGTCAACTAATTTAAGTTAAGCATTAAAAACCACATTAGTGATTTGTTTCTTACTTTCATGGGTTCTGTGTTCTCATAATTGTTCTAACAGGTGCAGGATCTGGGAAAGATCTGTGCATTTTCATATTTTCTCAAAGGTCTATTCTGGAGCTGTTTCAATTTCAATATCTAAATACTTTTTAGCAAGAATAGGATTCCTATGTACAGTACGTTGCGAAATCTAATTATATATCAAAGGGGTTTGATTTCACATAGTGATAACTAATGCTCACTTTCTCTTGCCTTCATTTTTCAAACCCAAACTTAGTCCCTGACCCTCCAACGGATCTCCAGGCCATTAATGTCACAGACACCAAGGCCTTGCTGCTATGGCGACCAGCACTGGCAACGGTTGACCGTTACGTCATAGTTTATGGCTCTGAAAAAGGTAACGGGGATCACAGGTTGGATATTCATCACAATATCCTGTGGGACTTTTTAAACCCCTAGCCGTATTAGAGCATTTCCCTTTCCAGTTGGAGCTTTCACAGGCCACAGGCATTCAAGATGAGATCATAGTACTTGTATTGGCCAGTCAGTTTATGACCACCCCAACAGCATTACAATATAAACACTGAGAAATAAATTAAATCCTGCTGCCTACCTCTCTCCCCTGCCACTCACCTGTGCTCTCTTTGCCGCCGCTTACTTGTTTCTGTGTCAACCAAGGGTCAGATGATGTGAAGATCACTGTATCGGGCAACGCAGCGGAGCAGCAGCTGAAGGGCCTACAGGGCTCCACTATGTATGCCGTCACGGTCACCAGTCAGCTGGGCAACCTGGACAGCTCTGCCGCCATCACCGTCTTCACCACCACTAGTGGTCAGTCCGCACACACTCTCAAACTACCCTAATGCTTTAACCAATCAACTGACCCGAGACAGAGAAGAAAAGGAAGGCTGTTGTTTTTATTGAATCCCACAACTGAGCTTCTTGTGATTGTGTCCATGTCCATCTGGCAGGATCTGGGGGAGACGGGGAAGTCCCGCGTGACCTGAAGGCCAGTCAGGTGACTCCTCGCTCAGCTTTGTTGACGTGGAAAGCACCCTCTGCCGCCATGGGAAGCTACAAGCTGACCTATCAGACGGAGGGACAGGAGATGCAGGTAAGAAACACTGATTAAACGGTGGAGACAGACACACATTCTATTTTATTCAGTACAATAAATTAGGACAAAATGCAACAAACTCTAGACAGATGGCCTATTTCTTCTCAACAGGAGGTTACCATTGACTCCACAGTAACAGAGTTCAAGTTGACCAGGCTGCATCCCATGTCCAAGTACACCGTGCAGCTACAGGGAGAGAGGGGAGGGAGCTCCACTGCTACAATTTCCACTGAGTTCACCACAGGTAAGTGGTCAAATATATTTCACTAAACTGAACAAACTAAATACATACATCGAAAGCGCAGTTTCATAAAGTTGGTCTCTCTCTTTGATTTTGTCTCTCAGGGAATCTCCTTTACCCCTTCCCAAGTGACTGTTCCCAGGAGCTGTTGAACGGGATGCATGAGTCTGGAGAGGTGGAGATCTTCCCCAAGGGAAAGCAGGGAAAACCAGTGTTGGTCTACTGCGACCAGGTGACTGATGGAGGCGGCTGGACGGTAAGAGGAGATGATTGTGAGAGGGACCATGTGTCTATCCTGTTGGTGAATAGAGAGATTGGTATTTTTAAATATATTCAGATGTAGGCAATAGATTTAGCATTATTTGTGTCAAATTTGACTGCATAATAGCAATATCCCTTAAAGGAAAATACCACTCAAAAACGATATTTTGGTATTTCATTAGTATTAGTTCACTGTTGATACGGTCCCAAAATGTTTTACATGTCAGCAATTAAGTTTTCAAGATATAGAACTTTCAAAATAAGTCTATCTTAAAAACTTGATCGCTGACATGCAGAACATTTCAGGACTGTATCAACAGTGGACTAACGAAACAAATACCAAAATAGTTTTTGAGTGGTATTTTCCTTTAACTGACATGAGAGGGAGTTAAGGGTTGGTTAAGGATGGTATATGTCAGCTGTATGAGCATGTGTGCTTTCCAGGTTTTCCAGAGAAGGATGGATGGGAAAACGGACTTCTTCAGAGGTTGGAAGAACTACAGCAAAGGATTTGGAGAACTGAGTGGGGAATTTTGGCTGGGTGAGAGTCATTCGTCACGCGAAGTTTGTTTTCACCCGCTTCAGCCGCAGTGCACCAGCATAACATCAAACAGAACTGTTATATTGACGACACAAAAGCTAAACCATGTCACTTTTATGTAAACAGTGCAAGCCCTCATGACAGATCAACTCTGTAAATAGACCCATTGCTAGGCAGAGAAATTAAACAGAACACCAGATGAGATGGATCAATTTAATGTGGAAATGTATGGCAAGAGGGTAGAAAAAAGTGGACTACTGGCACTATTGGTGCACGAACAGAAGGAAAACCAAAAGCAGTAGCAGAGGGCCTATCATTCATCAAAGCCCTTTCACTTTATTGGAGCAATTGGCTGAGCATTAGCGCCAGTAGCACAGTATCTATGGTGGTCCTCTGTAGCTCAGCTGGTAGAGCACGGCGCTTGTAACGCCAGGGTAGTGGGTTCGATCCCCAGGACCACCCATACACAAACATTTATGCACGCATGACTGTAAGTCGCTTTGGATGAAAGCGTCTGTTAAATGGCATATTATATTATTATTCTAACATTGAGGGCATCATGCTCATTTCTGCTGTGTAGATCTGATGAAAATAAGTATTCAGCGCCCCTTAGAGGCAATACATCTAGTTTCCTTCAGTTGCTCGGCAGTAAGCAGTTTTTTGTGTACTATAACACCGTGTTTCCCACTCCTCTCTATCCATCTATAGGTAATGAGAACCTACACAATCTAACCAACATGGCACCAATGACACTACGTGTGGACCTCAGTGCAGGGGACGAATCAGTGTTTGCTAAGTACTCCACATTCACGGTGGACACTGTTAAGAGGAACTACGCTCTCAAAGTGTCTGGGTACAGCGGTACAGCAGGTAAGAACAAAATCTGTCCACTAAAAAGGCTTGACATCTTATTGTGCATATTTCCACATAATCATTAAACCCATCCCTTATTTTCTCTCACTATCCCTCTATTCCACACCTACTGTTTCCCTCGTCACACCTGCCATCCGTCTTTCTACTCCACCTCCCTTTTCCCCTTTCCCTCTCTACTTTTTCGTCTCGGTAGGTGACTCTATGAGTTACCACAATGCGCGCGTGTTCTCTACCAGAGACAGAGACCCCACGCCTTTCATCACCCGCTGCGCCATGTCCTATAGGGGGGGTTGGTGGTACAAGAACTGCCACGAGGCCAACCTAAATGGCCTCTACGACACCAATGTCAATCACCAGGTAATGCCAGCTGACTTCATACCTCATTTCACTATTTCAGAGTCTATGTCATCAAAGTAATCTAAGTCAACTACTACAATCAATTACATTTTTGGAGTGGTTTGTTAACTGAATTGTCTCTGTGTCTCAGGGTGTGATCTGGACTGCCTGGAAAGGCAAGGACTTTTCCATCCCTTTCTCTGAGATGAAGCTCCGACCAACATCTTTCACCCCTCCAGCTCAGGGGTAATGACAAAGTGGTGGACAGAAAATGATAAGGGGAGAGAGGCACACTTTATGAACACACACACACAGGTAACTGCCCAAATAAAGGAAACACAAACATGAAGTGTCTTAATAATGCGTTGGGCCCTCACGAGCCAGAACAGCTTCTATGTGTCTTGGCATTGATTCTACAAGTGTCTGGAACTCTATTGGAGGGAGGCGACACCATTCTTCCACGAGAAATTCCATCATTTGGTGTTTTGTTGATGGTGGTGGAAAACTTTGTCTCAGGCACCACTTCAGAAACTCCCATAAGTGCTCAATTGGGTTGAGATATGGTGACTGACACACACATTACACACACAGACACACACACACACACTTTATAACACACTATGCTCCTTTGAGACCCCTCTTTCAAAGTCACTGAGATCTCTTCTTCTAGCCATGGTAGCCAAAATAATTGGCAACTGTATATGTTTTATACATGACCCTAAGCATGATGGGATGTTAATTGCTTAATTAACTCAGGAACCACACCTGTGTGGAAGCACTTGCTTTCAATATACCTTGTATCCCTTATTTACTCAAGTGTTTCCTTTATTTTGGAAGTTTCCTGTACATAAGCACACAGGCAAACACACTCAATCACACATGCATACACAGTACATGCACCTATTAGCTATAGTTTGAAAGTCTCCCAATGCCTTGCTCTCCAGACTAAAGTGATTACATTTTTTCAAATGTATAGAGGACAGTTATCCATCCATATGTTATATTGTACAGTTTCTAGATTATCTTTGCGATTTCCTTTTTTTTTTTACTCTATATGTTGTGGCACCTCTCACGTCAGCTGTAAAAATGTATGCACTGTCCCCTCGCTATGATGGTACAACCGTGGAAATGAGCGGGTGAATAATGGAGATTTCTGTTTGTACTTGACTAGTAATTATCGAGTTTTGGTGTTTGTCCTTTGTTTGTCTTATTTGTGGTTGTATGTCCTGTATTTTCTGTTGCCCCAATTCTCAAATTGTAGTTGCTACAATAATAAAATAATGGTGGAACATGGGCAGCAGAAGCCGCTCACTAAAATGATTTTATTGATTTTTTTATTTCTGTATTCGTATATTCTGTCTGTTTCCAGTATTGTAAATGGGCTAATAGTTCAACATCTGTCTTTATTTATGTTGTTGACACAAAATGCACTGGGTGTACCATTGTATGAGCAAGTACTGTATGTAAGTGAGGTTCTCACTGATATAAACTAGATGATAGATTTGGAGACCTTGAAGATAAACTGTACAGTGACAAAAGGTGTGACAATACACAGTTATTTTTTTATGTTGAATACCCAACCCTCCTCACTCTACCAAACTCCCCAATGCATTCCCACTGGCCATTACTCACTGACAAAGATTACACCTACTGCACTTTTACTGAAATGAAACAGTTGTACTACTACAAGACAATTAATGTCCACAATCAGATCTATTTCAACATTTTATTATTACATACAGTGAGGGAAAAAGGTATTTGATCCCCTGGTGATTTTGTACGTTTGCCCACTGACAAAGACATGATCAGTCTATAATTTTAATGGTAGGTTTATTTGAACAGTGAAAGACAGAATAACAACAAAAAAATCCAGAAAAAAACGCATGTCAATACATTGTAATACATTGTTTGCATTTTAATGAGGGAAATAAGTATTTGACCCCTCTGCAAAACATGACTTAGTACTTGGTGGCAAAACCCTTGTTGGCAATCACAGAGGTCAGACTTTTCTTGTAGTTGGCCACCAGGTTTGCACACATCTCAGGAGGGATTTTGTCCCACTCCTCTTTGCAGAACTTCTCCAAGTCATTAGGATTTTGAGGCTGACGTTTGGCAACTCAAACCTTCAGCTCCCTCCACAGATTTGCTATGGGATTAAGGTCTGGAGACTGGCTAGGCCACTCCAGGACCTTAATGTGCTTCTTCTTGAGCCACTCCTTTGTTGCCTTGGCCGTGTGTTTTGGGTCATTGTCATGCTGGAATACCCATCCACGACCCATTTTCAATGCCCTGGCTGAGGGAAGGAGGTTCTCACCCAAGATTTGACGGTACATGACCCCGTCCATCGTCCCTTTGATGCGGTGAAGTTGTCCTGTCCCCTTAGCAGAAAAACACCCCCAAAGCATAATGTTTCCACCTCCATGTTTGACGGTGGGGATGGTGTTCTTGGGGTCATAGGCAGCATTCCTCCTCCTCCAAACAGGCGAGTTGAGTTGATGCCAAAGAGCTCGATTTTGGTCTCATCTGACCACAACACTTTCACCCAGTTCTCCTCTGAATCATTCAGATGTTCATTGGCAAACTTCAGACGGCCCTGGATATGTGCTTTCTTGAGCAGGGGGACCTTGCGGGAGCTGCAGGATTTCATTCCTTCACGGCGTAGTGTGTTACCAATTGTTTTCTTGTTGACTATGGTCCCAGCTGCCTTGAGATCATTGACAAGATCCTCCTGTGTAGTTCTGGGCTGATTCCTCACCGTTCTCATGATCATTGCAACTCCACGAGGTGAGATCTTGCATGGAGCCCCAGGCCGAGGGAGATTGACAGCTATTTTGTGTTTCTTCCATTTGCGAATAATCCCACCAACTGTTGTCACCTTCTCACCAAGCTGCTTGGCGATGGTCTTGTAGCCCATTTCAGCCTTGTGTAGGTCTACAATCTTGTCCCTGAAATCCTTGGAGAGCTCTTTGGTCTTGGCCATGGTGGAGAGTTTGGAATCTGATTGATTGATTGCTTCTGTGGACAGGTGTCTTTTATGCAGGTAACAAACTGAGATTAGGAGCACTCCCTTTAAGAGTGTGCTCCTAATCTCAGCTCGTTACCTGTATAAAAGACACCTGGGAGCCAGAAATCTTTCTGATTAAGAGTGGGTCAAATACTTATTTCCCTCATTAAAATGCAAATCAATTTATAACATTTTTGTATTTTTTTGTTGTTATTCTGTCTCTCACTGTTCAAATAAACCTACCATTAAAATTATAGACTGATAATTTCTTTGTCAGTGGGCAAACATACAAAATCAGCAGGGGATCAAATACTTTTTTCCCTCACTGTATACACTGAGTATAAGAAACATTAGGAACACCTGCTCTTTCCATGACATAGACTGACCAGGTGAAAGCTATAACCCCTTATTGATGTCACTTGTTAAATCCATTTCAATCAGTGTAGATGAAGGGGAGGAGACAGGTTAAAGAAGGATTTTTACACCTTGAGACAAATGAGACATGAATTGTGTATGTGTGCCATTCAGAGGGTGAATGGGCAAGACAAAAGATTGAAGTGCCTTTGAACGGGGTATGGTAGTAGGTGCCAGCCGCACCGGTTTGAGTGTGTCAAGAACTGCAACGCTGCTGGGGTTTTCACGCTCAACAGTTTCCTGTGTGTGTCAAGAATGGTCCACCACCCAAAGGACATCCAGCCAACTTGACACAACTATGGGAAGCATTGGAGTCAACATGGGCCTGTGGAACGCTTTCGACACGTTGTAGAGTCCACGCCCCGAAGAATTAGGCTGTTCTAAGGGCAAAAGGGGATTTAAGATTATCCATTTACTTTTGTAGAAACCATTGATATTACAGATTATTATTAAACCATTATGTTTTATTTATGTACTGCTAATGTAAATAGGATAAGCTTGTTTTAACAATGTGTACATATTTCTCACAATACCCAGAAGAGAACAAGCATCACCGCTAAATGTACTGAGGCTTCCAGGTAATGACCTCTCTTTCTGCTTAACACCCCCACTGACAGAGAGACAGACAGACAGTCCGTCTTACCTGGTTATATGGTCAAATCTTCACAGGGATGCTGTACCAACCCAGGTTCCTGATCAGCAAGTCCACATGAGGCCATTGGTGAACCCTGTGGTGGCCCTATTGCAAAAAGTATGTAAAAAGTCGTATTAGGTCATTTAAGAGTCTAATGTGTTACATAAGAATAATATATGTTAACAGAGTGACATACAAAAATGTATGCACGCATGACTGTAAGTCGCTTTGGATAAAAGCGTCTGCTAAATGGCATATTATTATTATTATTATTATTATACAGTATGATATTCATTCGTATAGCAATTGACAACAACCATGTACTTTCAAAATCCCTGTCAGTTCTTTCATTTACTTGCAGCAAGCTGTTGCCAACCCACTTGAGGCTGCTAGGCGACATGGCTACAACATGGACAAATTAGAACAAGTAACCATAATAACACCCTTCTGGCTCAATGTGGCAGAGAGATTCATCAACGATGTGTGCGATAATGTCCTTCAAGTTCTGCAGCATTACAAGTCTAAAGGGATCCCTGTAAATCTCTCTGCTTTTGCTTCAATTCAAGATGTTGGAGATCAGAGAGTCTTTAAGCAGTGGGAGGACTACACAACAGACGAGTTACCTTGATTGTTGGCCGTCTAACTGGGCTCGTCCTCAATAACCTCATGGATCATTTCATGGAGGAGTGCCGAGGGGACATCAGTAAGCACGAGTGTCTGACAGACCCACAGTTGAAGTCGAAGTTTACATACACCTTAACCAAATACATTTAAACTCAGTTTTTCACAATTCCTGACATTTAATCCTAGTAAAAATTCCCTGTCTTAGGTCAGTTAGGATCACCACTTTATTTTAAGAATGTGAAATGTCAGAATAATAGTAGAGAGACTGATTTATTTCAGCTTTTATTTCTTTCATCACATTCCCAGTGGGTCAGAAGTTTACATACACTCAATTAGTATTTGGTAGCATTGCCTTTCAATTGTTTAACTTGGGTCAAATATTTCAGGTAGCCTTCCACAAGCTTCCCACAATAAGTTGGGTGAATTTTGGCCCATTCCTCCTGACAGAGCTGGTGTAACTGAGTCAGGTTTGTAGGCCTCCTTGCTCACACACACTTTTTCAGTTCTGCCCACACATTTTCTATAGGATTGAGGTCAGGGCTTTGTGATGGCCACTCCAATACCTTGACTTTGT